CTCTCTCTCTAAAACACATTTCTCCTCATGCTCTCTACATTACTCTCACAAAATCACATTAATCCTTTGATTTCTCCAAATCCATTAAAGCTTTGACCCTGGTTCCTTCATTAAAATCGGAGAACTCCTCAAGGGCTACGTTTTGTGCAGTGGAGATCAGATTTCAACACCATCAAATTTGGGGGTTTTCTTCTCTATTCTTCTCCAAAGCTTAAGTTAGGGATTCTCTTGGAGTTATATATATATTTATGCATGTTTGTGTTGATTTTGGAACTTCCTCTTGTAGTATTGAACTTTGATTTTGGCTCATGAGTTCTTGATGACTTTAAAAGTGGGTTTCTCAATATTTTCAAAAAACTCTTGAGGGTGTGAACTATATTGTTAAGGAGGGATGTTGTCTTGGAAAAACCTTTTCAAAAATAAGGAAAAACCTAGTTTTGTAGAAACCCTAGAAATTGGGGATTTATTTTGGGAAAAATGATAAGATGTTATGAAATCTTTGGTTGTCTAGTATTATGGTGAATATGTGATTGAGATATTCCTATGATTGTATATAAAGAGGAAATTCCATGGAAAGAAAATGAGAACTAGTTAAATTGAAGCTTGTTGTATAGCTTATTATTGGTTGCTCTTGAAATGACCAAGTAGAAGAGAATACATGAAAGTTAAAGTTGTTATGTCATCCTTTAGAATTATATTATGATGATTAATGTATGAAAAATGCTTGAAGGTTAATGTTGTATTATTTTATCACTTGTAATGTATTATGATATTGCATTGACAAGAGATGTGGAATTTGACCACAATGGAGGATTGTGTGGATAAATTGAAAAATTGGCATTGATACAAAAGTGTATAGCATTGGCATTATTGAGATGTTTAAATGGAACCTTGTTATTGTATTGGGCATTGCATAGTCATTCCATTTTGTCATTGATACAATTGATTTCGAATATTGCATTGGAAAAATATATTGTTTTAAGGAATGTAATTGTTTTGTGAAACAAGCTCATATTGAGTGGTTTTGGGGATAAATAAGTTGGTAAGTCCGCATAGGGGTGTAGTTGGTATTGGTTAAGTTGGCCTAAGTGTCCATGGTGAAAAACCGAAAACACGCGCAGATGAGGTACCATGTGCCTTCCAGTTAGCTACCGGTAAAGTGGGGATTTGGTAATGCTTGTTATGCCTACATGCAAACACCAACCTAGGGATTACTTGAGTCGTATTTACCGCTCCGTTGAACTACATTGAAATTATTGAATTGTTAAATTTTCAAGTTGGTATTTTGCACAAAAGTTTCAAAAGATAAAGATATATGTTTTTGAGCATGGTTTGGCACATGTGCATTTATCCCATGAGATTGTATAAAATGTATATACCTTGTTAAGATTTTCCTACTGGGCTTTGTGCTCACCCCTATAGGATTTTGTACAGGAAAAGATGTGGTGATCCCGCCAAGTTGAGTGCGTGTATATATTTTGTGAAGAATAGATAACTCTATTTTGTTGTGATTTATTTTGCTAGCCAAGGGCTATTCGTGTATGGGTCTGAGAGGCCATTTTTGTGTAATTGGGCTTAAGTCTTGGAAATTGTACACCTATGAGGGCATTTTATTATTTTTGGGACATAATGCTCTACATGCTATAGCTTCATGCATTTCTATATCATTGAATTTATAATTCGCATGTGAGACTTTTGTATAAATCTTGTTGATTAATGGTGCAAAGATTGGAGTATTGTTATTATTGTTTAGTGGACGTAGGTTGATGTATTAAATTTATATTGGATTATTTCGGGGTGTTACAGGACTACTACAAGCGGAGGTGCTTGCACTGGAGTTGGTCTAGAAGCCATGGCCATAATAGCCTCAGTGAGAGTTTGCAAAGCTGCCAGGATCTCCCTCTGCATATCCTGGAGTGACTGAACTACCTCAATCACAACATTGTGGTCATTGTCCTCCGTTTGTGCTGCTCCGCCATTAGAAGAGCCTTGCTGCCGTGGGAGTTGCTGAACTTCATCTCTGCCATCTTTTCCAGTGAAGTGTGTAAGCCACTGCAGGTATGAACCATCAACAAAGCAGCCTCCCCAGTGAAATCGCCAGAAATGTAGGGGGTTCAAGGTTAGAGAGGTAATTAGAGAGGCAAAACTATGCTAATGGTCCAATAATGACGGAAGTGGTTGGAAAATGAGTACCAGCAACTGTATGGGAGTTGGAGAGTGTGTAGCTGGGTGAGAGTGAAGCTAGTAGCTCAAGGAGAAGTATATGGCAGTGCCAAAATGGGCAGCATCTCCCCCAAATCTCCAAAATTCCTCTCTTTTGAACCTTAGGAAATGGGTCCTATTTATAGGCTTTTCCTTGGTGCCAAGAAGACACCAAGTGGCCAAATAGAGAGAAGACATGTGTCCCAGAGGATCACATGGAATAATCTGCCTTGAACTACTAGGCTGAAGGTGCCACGTGTCCCTCTACATGTACTGTGTACTATCTGTTTGTCTTCGCAACTACTTTTTTTGAGCCTCAGCAAGTGTAGTTGCGACGAGAGTATTTACACAGCAACTCTCTTTTGAGCCTTAGCAAGTGCAGTTGTAGCGAGAGTGTTTGCCTCTGCACTTGCCTTCTCAGCCTGAAGCTTAGCAAGTGCACTTGCAACGGTAAACCTTGTTGCTGCACTTGCCTTCTCAGTTCTATTTAGCCAGTACATACATTCTCAGGACTCCATTAGTCTACTATCGACTATGTTCGTGCTCACCTCAGCGGAGCCTCCATCCTTAGCCACCTAACCACAAACTCTCTAGCTTCCCAAGGCGAAGGCTACAGCCAAGCCTGCTAACAGTCATGCTGTGCCTTAGTACCAAGCCCAAGTGAGCTTCCTTAGTCCTGCCTATGCGACCAAGGCAGGTCCATGACCTAGGTAATGGAAAGGGAGTCCCTTATTTTCGGGCTACCTTGCTCCCATCTTCGCGGGATTACTGCGGTAAACTGGTATTTCTGGGCCTACTATCAGCTCTAACCAGTAAGTTTTGGGACCTGCCATCAGCACCAAGTTAAATGCACTTTGAGGAAGGGGGCCTGCTATCAGCCCTAAGCTAGTAATACTTTGGGACCTGCTATCAGCTCCAAGCATTAGTCTCTACTTGCAAAGGGAAGCCTCTCTCAAAGGCTGTTATCACCTTGGCAGGATATTCCCTCTGCAACTTAGTTGCTATAGTAGTAGTTGCTGCGGTAGTTATTCCCCGCGACAAGTTCAGACGACATAATCGAAGATATTAGAGATGGCGGCGTCGACAGAATGCCTCCACAACTTGGCCGCTGCAAGTATTGCCCCTGCAACTTAGTTGCTTCAGTTTTCTCATTTCCTCAGCAACTTCGGATGGCTATGGAACCAAAGATATTAGGATGAACGGCACTGAGGCAAAGTGCCTCAGTAACTTTCCCGCTGCATTTTTTCGCTCTGTCAAAGTCCAACAGTCTCTAGTAGGGTGTTTGGTGGTTGTTTGAAAGATACAATAATCTGGGATTTCTTTGTCCTTTTTTGTTTGAGGGACATCAACCGAAGGGAAAGTAAGTTCACCATGGGCTACCCATTTTTTAACCAAGGCCTTAACATTCTCAAGGCTGCAAGGATATGGATTCTTGTCCTCATAACTCTTCCTCTTTCGAGAGGATGACACCTCCCCTTACGAGCGGTTCCCTCTTGCAAAGGTTACCGCAGTAACTCTGCTACTGCGGGAGTAGCGGTGACTGCACGAGATCTATGTAGAGGACCGGTGGTACTGAGGTTCTTAGCTGCCTAAACCAATGCTAGAAAGGTAGGCAAATTATGATTCACCAAGAAAATTTTGTAGTCACATATGGCACCTCCACACATTTGCTGACTAAATGGGCCTCATCCACTCGTTCATGACAGTCAATAGCCTTATCTTGGAACTGCTTAACATAATCCAGTATCCCATCCATGAAGGATAAGACATCTCTCCCAAGTGTGAGGGTTGTAACTTTCTCTTGGACTTGGATGAACTTTGTGTGGAACTTGTTCACTATCTCCTCCTAACTCTAGATCGAGTTGGGAGCCAAGTTCACATACCAACTGTAAGCCCTTTCAGTATATGATTTGGAGAACTTCCGAAGGTGCAGAGAGTGGTCACTGCCATAGACACCAAGAGTTTCAATGAACCTCACAACGTGTTCTCTGACATTGCCTTGTTTCCCATCAAATTTAATAAACTTGGGCACTGTATACCCAGTTGGGTATGGCATGGTCAATATCTCCTGAGAGTATAGGGGTTTCACTTCTAGGTTGGGGAGAGATGGTAGTTTCTTTTTGCAACGTTTCTACTCGAGCATAACTTGTACATCAGCTAGAGTAACAAAGTGAGTGGGCTAGAATGGTCCAGTC